AGGTGCAGTGCAGGAAAAGGGCAGGAAGATGCCGAGAACAAAGTTTCTACAGCAGAGGTGGAAGATTCTGGGACAACCAGTCCAAGGTGCAACGTGGGTGTGGCCATAGAACTGGAACAGAGGTGAAGGGTGGTGTGACTGGTTATCAGTGAGAAGGAGGAGACGGGCATGCCACGTGACCTGACAGTGGGTGAACTCTGGACTCACCTCCCAGATCAGTGGGGCGCGTGGGTGGGAACCCGAGTGGGGAGTGGGAGCTTGAGTGGGGAGTGTGGGAAGGCCCACTTGTCTGGATGATGCCAGGATCTAGCCAAGTCCCACAGAAAAGCTTAGAGCATTATAAAGATCTTGGAAGAGAAAGAGACAATGTGCCAGAGGGCATAAAGGGAAGGATTGGACACCGGAATGTATGGGGCAGGGCTGGGAACATGGTGGGATTTGGGGTAACTATGCAAGGACAACCTCTGACGTGGTCATTAAGGGGCACACATGCCAGCACTAGCGTGCCCCACACAGTGGGACAGCAGTGGTACTCACAGCCGTGTATGCTGGACTTGAACCCGGGGCCTCCTGCATGCTAGGCAAGTGGTTATATTTTTACTATTCTTAGATCTCTCTTGTACACTAGACTGGCTGTGTGTTGGAGAATGACCTTGAACTCCTGATCCCCTACCTTCCGAGTGCTGGGATCACAAGTGTGTGCCACCATGTCCGTTTTATGTGATGCTGGGGCTCAAAGCCTAGACCGAGTTGGACTCAGGAGTCCAAGCTTCAGGGAAGAGTTGCTCCAGACACCATTCACACAATCACAATTGATGCAAAAGCAAGAGGATTTTTACTCTGTCATGACAGGGCCCTTCAGGTTCGGGATATGAAGGACCTCGATAGCTGTTATAGTTCATCTTTTAAAGCAAAAAAGCCATAGAAACAAGGGGGAGCCTGAGGGTTGTTTTCCAACTAACTGGATTGGCTTATTCAAAGGACTACTAGCAGTGATTGGTCTGTGCCAGGGCAGAACAGCTGCGTGCTCAGGTGAGGTAAAGGGGAGCATCGGTGGGTCATCCTGACCTTGTTCCGGTGACTGAATCAATACATCAAGAACCGAGTCAACCTCCGTGGTTTGTCTTGTCTCAGTAGAGTTATGTTTGGAGAACATCCACAAGAACACAGGGAGATGGAAAGTCCAACATTCGTGTGTGCGCAACTGTCACGTCTGTGTAATGCTGAGAGGCCTCAGAAATGCATTTCCAGTCTTTCAGTGCTAAACCAGCTGACTACATCCTCAGCCCTTTCCTTCCTTCTGAAGATTTACTTTAGTTTTAACTGTACGTATGTGTGTGTGTTTCTGTCTGTATACAGGTATGTGCACATACACACAGTTACCCATAGAAACCAGAAGCCTGGATCGCCCTGGAGCTGGAGTCGAGTGGGTTGTGAGCAATTGGATGTGGGTGCTGAGAACTGAGCTCAGGTCCTCTGCAAGAGCAGTGTGTGCTCTTGACCACTGACCCACCTCCCAGCCCCGCTTTTTGTTTGTTTGTTTGTTTGTGTTTTCCACGCGTGTTTTTGGCGGTGCTGAAGGTCACGCTCCATTTATTGTTTGAGATGGGGTTTTCGTTCAGCCACACCTTTGCAAACGCTAGGATGCTAGGCAAGCCCCAGCCTGTCCGGTTTACTGGCTTACCCCACACCTTCCGCCCCAGTTAAGATTGAGGCCACAGGCAGCTGTCTTCTAATGATGGAGGTCCACGCCCATGTTTTCCCTCCCATCCAAAACAAACCGAAGCACCTGGCTGGCCAGCCACAGGCTGATTGTACTGGTGGGAAACCCTGTTACCTGCAGTGAAGTGTTGCCCAAGTAGACAAGAAAAGATGAAACAACCGAGATGGCTGAGCTTAAGAAGAAAAGTATTGGGCCGAGAGCTGCTCTCCCAGAGGACCCAAGCCTGGTTCCCAGCATCCACATCGGGCAGCTCACAGCCACCGGTCACTTCAGGGGAGCAAATACTCTCTTTGGGTCTTCATAGGCACCTGCACTCACGGCACATGTCCACACACAGATACACACACACACACTAAAATTCTAAATCTTCTAAACCAAGCGGTGTTGGCGCACGCCTTTAATCCCAACACTTGGAAGGCAGAGGCGGATCTCTCTGAGTTGGAGGCCAGCCTGGTCTACAAGAGCTAGTTCCAGGACAGCCAAGGCTACACAGAGTAACCCTGTCTTGAAAAATGAAAAACAAAAAACCAAAATTTAAATCTTCTAAATAAAGTAAACAAACACTTTTAAGATTCTGTGAAATTTAAGTCGATCCCTAAGAAAATCTTCACACCAGAAGTTTGAGAACATTTGTCATAGGATCCTCTTTTGAGGCTAGTATCTCCCATCCCTCATTTCGGAACCCCATCCCCACCCAGTGACGTTCACAATCAAATCAGGGCCTTGTTCATCCTAAGGAAGGGCTCTCAATAAACTCCTCTCATGCCTTCTGTTTTTGCTTTGATTCATTTGGTTTGAGACAGGGTATCTCTCTCTGTGTAGCGCTGGCTGTCCTGGAACTCTCTCTGCAGACCAGGCTGGCCTCAAACTCACAGAAATCTGCCGCTTCTAATTCCTAGTGCTGGAATTAAAGGTGTGCACCACCACCACCTGGCTGTTCGTTTTGTTTTCAATTATATATTGTTACTGTGTGTATGTGTGAGTATAGGTTCCCACAGAAGCCAGACTTAGATTACAGACGTTTTTGAGCCACCCAACATGGGTGCTAGGAATCAAACTCGGGTCCTTCAGAAGAAGAGCAAGTACTCTTAACCGCTGAGCCATCTCTTCAGTCCCCCAGCCTTCCACTTTGACATTGTGAACATCTGATTCTGTTCTTGCCAATCCTTCAAACTCTTTTTTTTTTAATTTTTTTTATGATGTATTTATCTTTTATTTTATGTGCATTGGTGTGAAAGTGTCAGATCCCCTGGAACTGGATTTTCAGACAGTTGTGAGCTGCCATGTGGGTGCTGGGAATTGAACCTGGGTCCTCTGGAAGAGCAGTCAGTGCTCTTAACCGCTGAGCCATTTCTCCAGCCCCCTTCAAACTCTTTAGGGCTAAATGTGTCCCCAGGCTTCTCAGGGTGGTATGAGTGTTTGATTGACGTGTGCAGATATTCCGTCCAGAGGCCTGAGTGGGGATAGTCGGCAGCCAACACCTGTCAGTGGGTAAATATGGGGTCACACACTGAGGCCTCTGTGAGCAGCATCACCTCTGCAGTTCAGCACCAAGAAACTGAGGCTCAAACAAGTCCACAGGTGACCGGTGTGGGTGGCTGAAACCTAGACAGCTTGTTGATTGAAGTCTGCCTCCAGACTGTCTTCAGTCGGGAAATGGCCTAGACTAGAAAGGTCAGGCTAGATTTCAACCAGAAAACTGTTATCTCAAATGGATCAAAATCAGATAGAGTGATGTCGTAGAACATTTGCTGAAGTTCCTAGGAAGCAATGAGAACTCAAAAGGAAGCTTTTTCTAAGTCAGGCATAGTGACATGCACCTGTAATCCCAGTACTTGGTAAGTACAGCCCGGGGGATCAAGTATTTAGGGTCACCCTAGGATATTCAGCAAATTCCAGGACAGCTTGAACTATGCCCAACCCCTGTCTAAAAGTAAGTAGAGGATGGAGAGATGGCTCGGAGATTCAGAGAACTCACTGCCTTTGCAGAGGACCTTGGTTCCCTTCCCAACACTCACGGTGGCTCAGGACTCTCCATAACTCCCGTCCCAGAGGATCTGATGCCCACTTTCGCCATCTGGAGGCACCAGGAACACACATGGTACAATAACCTGCATGCAGGCATAACATCCATGCACATAAAATAAATCTGAACATAGTAAGTAAATATAAGGGCTGGAGAGACGGCTCCCTGGTGAAGAGGACTTGCTCTTGCAGAAGACATGGGTTTGGTGCCCAGCACCCACACAGTGGCTCACAACCACCTAAAATTCCAATGCCCTCCTACTGCAGGCCCACTGTGCACCTACATACATTTATCCACATAAACATAAGTTTTGTTTGTTTGCTTGTTTTGGTCTTTTGAGTCAGGGTTTCTCTGTATAGCCTTGGCTGTCCTGGAACTCGCTCTGTAGACCAGGCTGGCCTCGAATTTACAGAGATCCACCTACTCTGCCTCCTGAGTGCTGGAATTAAAGGTGTGTGCCACCACCACCATGCAAAAAGTAAATATTTTTAAAATAAAAAAATCTAAATACCTGTTGTGGACTCCCCAATCAATCTCTTTCCTGTTTGATGTTACAGGAACACTGACCTTATATGTCAGGTCACCAGTGCGTCCGTTAGCAGGCCTCCAACCTTGTTCCAGGGTGGAGTGACTTACCCATAAGACTAGCCTTGCTTGGAGCTCAGTTCTTTGGATTTATCAAACATGGCTCCTCTTCACTCCAATTTTCAATGACACTGGACCCAGGATGCCAAGGAAGGCTTTCCCTTAGACCAGTGTTTCCTCAGCGCTGGGCTTTTGGAAGGCAAAGGAATTAATGGAGGCGTTGGAATGTGGAAGTTCAACTTCCTGCTCCCTGAAGCACACAGGGGGCCTGTGGTTCTGGGTCTCCTGGAAACAAAGTTGCCGACTTCCTTGGAGCCTCGGGAGGGAACAGCTCAGGGGAGCAAGGGTAGAGCGCCGCAGCCTCTCTAGAAATCGCTACTAATGCCTCTATGTCTGTTTTCCAGATGGAGGTTCTGTGGTGAAGGCCCGACTGCTCACCTGTGTAGAAGGGATGGATCTGTCCTTGTTAGAAAAAGCCATCCTGGAGCAGAGGCTGTACCTGCAGAAGAAGCAGCAGCCAATAGGAGTCGCCAGCACCTTGCCCACGCCTCCACCTGCTCCTCCTTCCCATTGACAGCCTTCGCCTGGAACTAGAAAGCAGAAGCCAGGGAGGGGGAGTGTGTGTGAGGGGGGGTGGAGTAGGGGGTGGAGGGGTGCCCCTTGTCTGAACTCTGGATTGACCTGTAAATGAAAGCCCACCTCAAGCCTGTAATCCCAACGCTAGGGAGGCAGAGTCAGAGGATCTGGATTTTAAAGCCAATCTGAGCTACATGAGACCCTTTCTCTAAAATATATCTGATACCCACCCCCAGGGCCCTGGGGCTGAGACTTGTGAAGGATCTGAAGGATTCCTCAATGTCCTCACGAATAAAGAGCATGAGTTTGTAGTGTGTGTGTGTACCTGGTGCAGAGCTGGCTGCAGCCAGCAGGGGCCAGCAGGGGGAGCCATAGCAGGCAGCTTGCCTGACAGAGAAGCTGCAGCCTGCTGAGGGCTCCTGGTGACTTCTGGGCAAGGGGGCTGAGGGGAGGATGCTAGGGGGCTAAAGGCAGGATTGGGGGGGCAGGGACAGAGTTGGGGGGCCCAGAATGCAAAGGGGTCACCCTTGCTGAGGTTCTGACCTAAGAATTGGCAAACTGGCCAAGCTAAGGTCCTGGGTCTTGATGTGTGACTCAGAGCAGGACTGTAGCTTCAGAAGCCTTGGCCAACTCCTAACCTCTGCCTCAGACTGCCACCCTCCCTTGTACAGCCTTTCTGGGTAGATACTTGTGGCTCCGAAGCACTGGTTTGCCTAGACTGAGACATAGACTGAGGCAGAAGTTTGGGCTCTCCTGCACTCCGTAGCCAGGCAAAGGAGAAGCGGGCGCTGGGCTGAGCTGGGCTGGCCAAGAAGCAGCCTTTAGCCTTGAACCATCTTCCTGAGCAAGATGGTGGCAGGCAGTGCCCGGGGAGAGGGGGTCAGGGCTGGGCACGGTGTGATGTGCAGACTGGAGTCTGGAAGTGGGGATGCTTCATATGGAATTTAAATGTCCAGATGCGGTCTGTTTCCTGGTCAACTCTACAGACATGGATGCGTTCCGGAAGATCGAAAAGATCGGAGAGGGCACCTACGGGGTGGTCTATAAGGCCAAGAACAAGGAGACAGGGCAGATTGTGGCCCTCAAGAAGATCAGGCTGGATGTGTGAGTGTCGGGGTTCACCCCAATGCCCCATCTGTCTCCCAGGGAAATACCAAAACCTGTCCTCACCTCATGGGCTTGCATCCAACCTCAGTGGTAGCTAAGAAGGTGCAGCCCTTGCCTTTGTTCTGGGTCCAGCCCTGTGGAGCTTGGTGGACATAAAGTGTGCAAAAGTGGGGAATTTTATATGTAATCACACACACACACACACACACACACACACACACACACATCCTGACCAGAAGCAACCCATTGGTCTTCCATCCTTTCCAACAGGGAGACTGAGGGGATTCCCAGCACTGCCATCAGAGAGATCTCCTTGCTCAAAGAATTGAGGCACCCCAATATCGTCAAGTAAGCTGGGAAAGGAAGTGGGGGGGTTGGAATCCTGACTGCGGTGTCCTGAGTCTGACCCCTCCCTGCCAGACTGCTGGATGTGGTCCATAGAGAGAAGAAACTCTACCTGGTGTTCGAGTTCCTCACTCAGGACCTGAAGAAGCACATGGAATCCGCCCCCACCCCGGAGCTCCCCCTGAACGTAGTCAAGGTGCCCAGGGGAAAGCAAGAGGGTAAGGCCACACCCCCACCCCGCCGGCCACCTGCTATTTAACAGCTCTTTCTCCTGGTCATCCCCACAGAGCTACCTCTCCCAGCTGCTGCAGGGGCTGAATTTCTGTCACTGCCATCGGGTCATCCACCGAGACCTGAAGCCTCAGAACCTGCTCATCAATGAGTTTGGAGCCATCAAGCTGGCTGACTTCGGACTGGCTCGAGCCTTCGGGGTTCCCATGCGTACCTACACCCACGAGGTAGTGTCGGCCAGGGAGCGGGAGGGACAGCCAAAGGATGTCCCTAGTGGATTCGGCCACCATGAGCGATGCTGCTTCTTGCCTGCACAGGTGGTGACACTGTGGTACCGCGCCCCGGAGATCCTCTTGGGCAGCAAGTTTTATTCAACAGCTGTGGACCTCTGGAGCATTGGTTGTATCTTCGCAGAAATGGTAGGAAGGGAACAAGCTGGGCTGGGGCAAATCTCAGTGGTAAAGTAATGGTCTAAATGGGAGAGGCCCTGAGTTCAATTCCCGAGATGGCAGCTTTGAGCCAGTGGCTGGGGAGATGGCCTAATAGTGCGTGTGCTATTATGTAGTGATAGTACTTGCCGCCCGGCCTGACAACAGCTGGAGTTTGATCCCTAAAACCCTTGGGATGGGAGAACTGATGTTGTCTTCTGACTGCCACACATACACTGTGCTTCTCTCTCTCTCTCTCTCTCTC